CCCTGGAGACATGATTCATCAGAGACAAGTGGTGGGTTGGGGTGTTCACAGGCGTATGTGTACAGGGGGGCCTCTCTAGTAACCAGGGGTGCGTGACCTGGGGAAACTGTAGCCCACTGTTTTAAGCAACTCTTAGACAAAGATTTTGATGTTACAAGGGATCTACACTACCCACATTCAGGAGCAATCTAGTCTGAAAACAATATTCCTTTTTCCCTCGGTTCATGTAGAAAAGCTACTGGACTTCAGAGTTTGTGAAACTGACGTAATGTCCTTGTGTTCTGCCTGCTTCAGTCAGGCAGTGAAGCTGCAGGTGTACATCTTAAATCCCTGCTAGGTTGTTTGTGTGTGTGTGTGTGTGTGTGTGTGTGTGTGTGTGTGTGTGTGACAGTTTCTGTTGCCAGGCTGGAGTGCAATGGTGCAATCTCGGCTCACTGCAACCTCTGCCTCCTGGGTTTAAGCGATTCTCCTGCCTCAGCCTCCCAAGTAGCTGAGATTACAGGCGGGCACCACCATGCCTGGCTAATTTTTGTATTTTTAGTAGAGTCAGGGTTTCACCGTGTTGGCCAGGCTGGTCTCGAACTCCTAACCTCAGGCGATGCGCCTGCCTCGGCCTCCCAAAGTGCTGGATTACAGGTGTGAGCCACCGTGCCCGGCCAATCCCTGCTGTTTTAATCACAGAGCGTTATTCTGAATTAGGAACTTGATGGATTTCTCCTCGATGACTATACAGAGATTTCCGTGGGTTGAACAAGGAACTCCACTACAGCGCCCTGTAGGGAACCGGAACTGCAGACTGCTGGACCTTGCAAGGCGGGGCTGGCAGGCCTGGCCGGTTCTCCCCTCTTTCCAGCCTGCACCGTGGCCAGCAGGGTTTGGCCCTTTGCTTTTCACGTTACCTTGTTTAGAACATGCCTTAAACTCCAGGCACCCTTTGGATGAGGAAAGGTCCAGTGGAACTTCCAGAGATCACGCTTGAGGGGACACAAAGCCAGGGGGCGTCGTAGCGCTGGTTAGAAGCCCCTCCCTCGGGCCTGGGACTCTGGCCAGGGCGAGCTGGAGCACTGCCCCGGCGCACGGAAACCTGGTAGTCCAGGCGTGAGGGCAGGAGCTCTGGAACTTGGGGTCTGTGCTCTGGAACTTGTAGCCGCAGCCTCACCTGCCTCGTCTGGGAAACGGCTCAGTCCTAAAACTCTGAGCCTTCTGCTTGGAGGGTTGTGTGGTGGCGGGGATGACCTAGTGAATGGGAACCTGCTTTGCAGACTGCCAATCAAGTACAGACAAATCAACGTAAGCAAAGATGGTGATGATAAAGACTTCAACCTCTAGCCTGGTGTGAGCGACTAAAAACAACCACAGAACACTTGCACCCAACGCCTGCAGGCGCTGCCGCAGGCTTCGGGAGCAGGCGCAGCGGCCCCGCCCAAGGCAAGCACTTGGCCCGGGCCGCAGCTGGTCCCGAATTTTCTCCTTAGAGCTCCGAGTCCACAGGCAGCGGGTTTGGAGCAGGTGGCGGGAATATTGCGACAGGATTCCCCTTCTCCTCCTCCCCTTCCTCTTCCTCCCCACCCCCCACCCCCCGCTCCGCTCCGGGCAGCTGAAATTCTTCAGTTTGGAATAGAATAAGAAAAGCTCCTGGAGAGGAAAGTTGTGGGCGCCCGACTTTTTGGAGGGGTTGTTCTTGTTGTTGTTGTTGTTTTGGGTTTCACTCTTGATTTTATAATATTTCACAACTCAGAAAAGTAAACGAGGAGCTTTTACAAACACTGTGTCAGCAACCCTGTATTATCCCCATTTTACCAGTGAAGAAACTGAGGCCGAGGTTAAATGAGTTGTCACAATGCAAGTGAATTGCAGAAAATTGGAATTGGGGATTTCTGGCTTCAGGTCCTGTGTCCTTGGAAACCAGTGTTCACAGAACTGTTGAGCTAAACGGAGAGAAAAGGGGGTGGGGGTGGGGGTGGGGGAAGAAGGGAGGGAGGGAGGGAAAAGGGAGGAACGGAAAAAGAAAAGGAAGAAGTAGAAAACGCCATTTAAGAGATGAGCAGAGAGTGCAGCTCAGGTAACTCGCGCGGGAAGAGTGAGTTGCGGTGGTGCAGCCAGGCCGGCTGCGCGGAGCACGCGCGGTGTCCAGTGTGCCCAGCGTCATCACACCCGGCCCTGCCTCTCCGCCTCTGCTTGGCGGCCCCTGCAGGAGCCCCCAACCCGTCCCGCCGCAGGTCGGAGCCCCAGCAAGATCCGGCCCGGTAGCCCTGGGTCTCGACCTTTCTCCGCGAAGTCTTCCAGGTGTTCGCGCCGTGACGATTCGCCGCACCTAGCCTCGACCCAAGAGCCGCTGGACACACAGCTGGCTGCGGCCCCGAACCCAACGCTGGCGACAGCAGGTGCCGGGATGCTAGGGCTTGCGCCTTCACCCTCTAGCTCAGCCCTCTGAACCCCCGGCTTTTGGGGTCGAGTAGGGTCGGCGCGGAGCTCTGGAAAGAGTGATGTTCGCAGTGACCGGAGAAGTGGCGAGGTTACGGTGACCCGGCGTCCCTTGGCGTCGCCTGCACCAGGGCGCGCTCGCGCACAGTTGCCCAGGTGCATAAATGCGTCTACTCAAGGAAGGAATGGAACGAGCGAGCCGGGCCACCGCGGTGCAAACAATTTCCAAGTTCCGGGCGGCGCCCGCGCCAGCGTTGGGGTGGTTAATGCTCTTACCTCCATGCTCTTACCTCCTGGACAGCCCAAGCTTTCGAGTTCTCTGCAGAGGGAAAGCAAGAAACTAAACAAGTGCAGACAACAATCCCAACGCGTATTCTGTGGCCCCGTTCCCGTTGTTTTCTCTTTTGTTGCCATCGGTATCTGGGATGTAACTTGACCTTTCCGTGCACCCCTGGGAGGGCGCATCTTCCTAACCTGGTGCCCGAGCGTGGTCCCACGGAATGCGCGCTCTGTCCTGGGACCTTGCAGGGAGGGCGCTAGGGGCTAGGGCCGGGAGTGGGGACGCCAGTTGTCGGGAAGGGGGCGCTGTCCCCTTGTGTCCTCAGACCCTGCAGAGCACGGCCCCCGCCCTGGAGCTCAGTAGGGTCAGAAAGGGTCGGGGCAAGGTCTAACCAGGATCCTCCACAATAGCTCAAGACCCCAGGGGGACTCTGTTTTTCCCCTTTCTCAAAGAGCTCCCTTCTCCTGGCCGAGCGCGGCCCGGGACCCCACGAGGAGCACTCTGGCCTAGGGCTTTTGCTGGCGGCACATGCTGGAAAGGGGCCAGCCACTGGGAATGGCCTGGACTTTTCGGGGTTGGGAAGTCCGCTTAGGTGGAGGCAAGTTCCCAAGTTCTCTGCAAACGGTCCCCGCTGGGTCCCCCGCCGCTCCGCCTCGGGTTCCAGGATGCTGCCCCAGCGGCGGGCACCCTGTTTGCCCGCCCTGCACAGCGCGCGCCCCGCCCCATATTCTTAGATTCCCTACCCGCGAGAGCAGCGGATGGGGCGCACCGGCCTAGGGTGCTGCTACTGGATCCTGGCTGGAGAACAGGGGCAACTCCAGTCATCTCTTTTGTGTGGAAAGCTAATTCTTGTTTGAAAATTGTCCCAAGCTCTAGAGGTGAAAATTAGGACATGAAAACAGAGACGCTGCAGTTCTCCGTCCACTTGCCGGGTCTCAGCTGTGGGCCCATGTCATGTTGCATGCAAAGCATCGGTCGCTGCGCGTGGGGACATTGAAATCCGGACTCATGCCCACGGGCTTCGTGCCGAGAGTTATATTAACATCAAGCATCACAGGGAGAGCTGGAGCTTTCGCTACATTTATCTCACCGAATCTTCACAACAGCCCTGGAAGGTCAGCCTTACCATCTTCCAGTGTTAGGGTTAGGCAAGGAGATCCACTTGCCCAGAGTCGCGCGTTCAGTAACCTAAAGACTAAGGTTCTGACTCCAGACCCCACGGCACCCCCACACCCCCACACCCCGACAACGCTGCCTCCTTCCAGGGTCACCTTTGTGGAGTCCCGCACAGGGGTGGCACTCTGTAAATTCCGGGATCTGCCTAAGCCATATTTGCTCACTCACTTATTCTGCAGGCCTTGAGCGCCTACTGTGTGCCGGCGCTTATGTGAGAGGTGGGAACAGCGCCCCAGATGACGTGGGAGCTGCGGTGAGCGCAGGCGAGGGATGGCCGTGAGCTCCCAGCCCGCAGCCCCTAGGCTGCACGCGGGCCCGGCACACACGGCCGGTCCACCCTGGGGTGTGCAGATGAGGGAAACTGGGGGAGTTCGCAGTTCAAAGCGCAGCCAGTGGGGATGCGAGAGGTCGGGAGAGACTCCTTCACTCGGAAGAGCGGGACTGCCAGTCAGAGGAGAAAGCCAAACTTTAAGGAGAAAATTCAGGGTGAGAAGGGCCAGAAGTGAGGGAGCTGGAGGCCTGGACCCGGAGACTGGGTGCAGGTGGAGTGAGAGGAGAAATCAACCAGGCGGCTGAAAACCAGAACGACGGCCAAGTCCTCCTGAGAGCCAGGGGCGGCGGGGAGTCCAGGGCCCCTGGGTGGGCACTGCACCGAACCCCAGGCGGGAGGCAGCCCCCATCCCCGGCCCTGGCCGACCTCTGTGGCGGCCCAAGTTGGCTGGGGCTGCGGTGGCCGAAGCCGGGTCATTTTCGAAAGGAAAGGCAGTCGGAATGTTCCCTTAGGAATGGCTGCTCCGAGGGGTTCACGGTCAATGTCTCACGCCCAGGCTGGCTCGAGGAAACCTGGTAGGGTTGGGTTTTCCGAGGCTCCAGGGGCTGGAAGGGCTGGTGGAGTCTGGCCGGGGCGGACCGGGGGCTGGCGCCGGCCTCCTGCGCCTGCCTGCGGGCGGTGGGCTGGGGGCCAGAGGCGGCCCAGGGCGGGGGGGGCGGAAGACAGCCCTGGGCGACTGGGCGCAGGTCCCCGGGCTGGCCGGGAGAGGCGGAGGGGCGGGCTGGGGGCGGGCGCGGGGAGAAGGCTGTCCCTCCTTCCCTCCCTCCCTCCCACTCCCTGCAGGTCGGAGCGGGGACCCGGCGGCGGCCTGGGACGCAGGGAGGGGACCCGCGCTGACACCGAGGGAGGGGCCGCGCCGCCTTCGAGAGTCATTGGAGGACGCGGCCGCCCGAAGCTGATAAATCAGGGGCCGGGTCGCGGCTGCTGGCCAAGGTGGACGCCCCAACCGGTGCGAGGGCCAGGTCAGCGCCGGCCCGGCGAGGCGAAGCGAGGCTACACGCGTGCGGCCATGGCCTCGCTGCTGGGAGCCTACCCATGGCCCGAGGGGCTCGAGTGCCCGGCCCTGGACGCCGAGCTGTCGGATGCGCCGTCGCCACCAGCCGCCCCTCGGCCCCCGGGGGACAAGGGCTCCGAGAGCCGTATCCGGCGGCCCATGAACGCCTTCATGGTTTGGGCCAAGGACGAGAGAAAACGGCTGGCGGTGCAGAACCCGGACCTGCACAACGCGGAGCTCAGCAAGATGCTGGGTGAGTGAGCGCGCGGCCCGGGGGGCTGGGGACCGGGGGCGGGCGGCTGGAGGCTGGCGGGGCGGGTAGGAGCGCAGAGCCTGGGAACGACCCGGCGCGCGGGGCGAGGGCGCTCTTCATGCCCGCGTGGTTGGGCATCTGCGCGAGCGTAGGTGTGCGCAGTGCCCAGGATTCAGAGCTGGGGCACTAGGCGAGGCCCAAGGTGAAACTGCGCGGCAGGCAGGGGAGGCTCCTTTGCTGGAACTGGAGCGGAGGTCGGGGCCCCAGGGTGCGGTGAGGACGGGGCAGCGGCCAGGCAGGGAAGCCTGGCGACAGGGACCGGTTCGCACGGACAGGGCAGGGACGGAAACGTCGGGGCTGGGTGGAACCGGCGTTTGGTAGGAATACCGAAGCGGGAAAACCCAGCATTCTCTGCCCCTTACGATTGGGTCATCTCAGAGGAAGCCCGTCACAGATGAATCTATAATTAACGAATACTCCTGAAGAGAGACCCTGCGGAACGAATCTTTGCCTCTAACTAAATAATACAAAAAAAAAAAAAGCTTACCCAAATAGACTCGATTCGTTAATCTATTTCTCAGTCACGGAGGTGTAGATAATTTGATTTGGATACTTGGGCTGTCCTGGAGCGCGGTCTCTTCCTGGGCTGTCCACGCAGGGGCTGGGGACACGGACCCACCAGGTCTAAGGGATCCAGAGTGAGGCTATTAGGACACACCCGAAAAACCGGAGTTGGCGTCGAGGTTTCTTTTTTCTCCGACGTCTGGAGTTGAGTACTTTTCAACCCTGCTTAACCCTCAATCTCTTTGCCCTTTGAAGCGTGTTTTATTCGTTTTAATCGAGGAAAACCTTTCAAAACACTTGGTTCTCGCAGCTGGAGACAGCCCTGTGAGAAGGGACGTGTGGGCACCCGGGGCCGGCTGTTCTCTCCCCAGACCCCACCCGGCCCGGAACGGAGCCCTTCCTTTTTCCGTCTGAGTTCAGAGCTCAGGGCTCTTTCCCGGGGCGGAACCTTGGAGATAGGACTGACTCCCCTCTTTGTGCTGGCTAAAGCCGCAGGAGCGCAGAGGGGGTCCGAAGCCGAGCCCTCCTGCAGTTTAGCTGCTGTGCAAAGCAGTTGATGGAGTTCTGATTGCAAAGGATCCAGTCTGGTGGCTGGCTGCACCAACCCACCTTAGTGATCTGGGGCCTTCTGGGGCTTTTACCCTCATCAAAAATAGTAACATTCATATTTTATACAGTGTTGGCATAAAGAAAAATAAATTAATATGTACAATAATAAAACATTTTCTTTAATCGGTAAGTTCACATTTTCTTTAGATCTTACAAGAAATGAAAATGTTTGTTGTGGATCCCCAAACGTTTTGTTCCACGGACCCTGAGCGCTGTGCTGATTGACCATGCCTGCTGTGACTATGCTAGAGAAGGATTTCTCTGCAGGCCTGGGCCAGGGATGGGAGCCCAGGGAAGGGTAAGGAGCATGGCCCTGCAGAATTGGGGAAGCCTGCTCCCAGGAAAGGGTCAGGCACAGGAGACAGATGCTTCCTGCAAGCTGGACCCCGTCAGGGCTTGCACCTCAGCTTTAGAAGGTTACAGTTCATTCTGCAGAAAAGACATGGATTCCTTCCTGCTGAGCGCAGTAGCTCCTGGCACTGGGTGAGGGAAACCGTAACGCTGGTGCTTTTCATAATATAGACTTTGTGCACCTGTTAACAGGGGCCAGCAGGATGATCCCCTCCACCTGTGTGACATTTCCTTCTCAGCCCTTTCCTTTCTGACCTGAGAGGAAAAGGCTGGATGTGAGAGTCCCAGCTTTTTCCACTATAAACCTTCCAAATGTTAACGTTAACATTGTGACCTAGTCACACTGGTATTTTTAATATATTATGAATGACTAAGTGCATAAAGACAATTAGACATTTGGTAGCACTTTAAAATGAACGCGTATTTTATTAATCATGTAACATCCAGGTACACTTAGAGCTAGAGCCACCTTTTATACAGAGACATGGACAGGGCGCGGGGTGGACCTGTACACTGGACCGCCTATGACAGCTTTGTGGCCTCAGCCACAGGCTGGCAACGGATGACCAGCCCTGTAACTGCAGCTCCTAACACTTTCAAGTCACCCTTTTAAGCGACGGCTAATGATGTTAATTGAAAGCTCCACAGAGTTTTTATAAACTTTCACCCATGTGCTACAGTGCCCTTAATCATTGCCTTCCTCCAGCTCTGAGCCCCTGGCTCAAGGAGCCAGTTGGCAGAGGTGCTGAGGGCTGCTGTGTGCCAGGCTCTGCACCTGGCCCCATGCAGAATGTGCTGAGCAGAACTCATGGCCCCTTTCCTTAGGCCTAACCTCTAGGCTAGTGAGTCTCAAACTTCAGGACACATTAGCATCGTGGGAGAACAACTTAAAGGTGTAGAATCCTGGGCCCACCTTAGGAAGTAGCAACCCAAGGGGTCCAGACGCCCCCTACCTCTAGAAAACACTGCTGGAGGGGTGGGCAGTGCACACTGAGAGATGAGGGGAGATGTTCTGGGGGCTTGAAAAACAACAGACAAGCAAGCCACGGTGAATAGAAGGTCAAACGCAGCCAGCATATTAGCACAAGTGGGTGGCAAGCATGGGGCAATTTTTAAAGAGAGAGTTTTGAGCTGGAGAGTGTCACAGTATCTTTCTTTTCTACTGAAGAAAATCAAGACTCAGGGAAGTGAAGGGAATGGCTTCTGCATGGCGATCTGTGGCTAAGCAGGTGCCCTGGCACGGTCAAGGGTCTCAAGAAGCTGGTTGGCTGAAAGTGATGGTTTGCATGTCTATGTGTGTGCATGCATGAGTCTGAGTGCATTCATGGGTTGCAAGCAGATGCTAGCATTCTGGCCTCGGTCATACAGCAGGGTCCTATTCGACCTTCAGAGGTAAGCAATAGGCATGTGTTAACCTAAGTGAGATTCTCAGATTTACTGACATCTGTGAAACAATTGACTGAGCCTAGGTTCCCTCACAGAAAGGGCTGTGAGATTTATGTCATAGGTAAATATGATCATATCACTTCCTAAGAGGCTGCACTAGTCAAAGAAGGCAGAGACTTTCATGAGAATGCGCAAATGTCTAGAATACACCCTCGAAGGGTAAAAAGAGCCCCAACCGATATCGTGATCATTAGGTATTTTCTTCCTGTAGCTGACATAGGGTCAGGTGGGCTTTTCGCCGTGGACCCGCACTGTAGCTTGGGCATGCTCTGGCGGCTTTTATATGCGTGTGCCTGCACTCCGTGTGCACCGTGCACTACTTGACTTTGTGGTTGCAAGCAGAGGGGCTGATTTCGCCTCACTGTGCCTGCAGGACCTGGGTTGGGAAGAGGGTGCGAGAGTTGCCCGCGTCCTCTGTGGCTGAGAGGGGGGAGGGAGGCGTGTGTGCATGTGCACGTGTGTGTGCACGCGTGTGCATGTGCGATGCCTGCAGGGCGCGACACTGAGCATGGCCTCCTCTGCCTGTGTGAACAGGAAAGTCATGGAAGGCGCTGACGCTGTCCCAGAAGAGGCCGTACGTGGATGAGGCGGAGCGGCTGCGCCTGCAGCATATGCAGGACTACCCCAACTACAAGTACCGGCCGCGCAGGAAGAAGCAGGCCAAGCGGCTGTGCAAGCGCGTGGACACCGGCTTCCTCCTGAGCTCGCTCTCGCGAGACCAGAACGTCCTGCCCGAGAAGAGGAGCGGCAGCCGGGGGTCGCTGGGGGAGAAAGAGGACAGGGGTGAGTACTCCCCCAGCACCGCGCTGCCCAGCCTCCGCGGCTGCTACCACGAGGGGCCGGCTGGTGGCGGCGGCACCCCGAGTAGTGTGGACACGTACCCCTACGGGCTGCCCACACCCCCTGAAATGTCTCCCCTGGACGTACTGGAGCCGGAGCAGACCTTCTTCTCCTCCCCCTGCCAGGAGGAGCACGGCCACCCCCGCCGCATCCCCCACCTTCCAGGGCCCCCTTACTCACCGGAATACGCCCCCAGCCCCCTCCACTGTAGCCACCCCCTGGGCTCCCTAGCCCTTGGCCAGTCCCCCAGCGTCTCCATGATGTCCCCTGTATCCGGCTGTCCCCCCTCTCCTGCCTATTACTCCCCAGCCACCTACCACCCTCTCCACTCCAACCTCCAAGCCCCCCTGGGCCAGCTCTCCCCGCCTCCCGAACACCCTGGCTTCGACGCCCTGGATCAGCTGAGCCAGGTGGAACTCCTGGGGGACATGGATCGCAATGAATTCGACCAGTATTTGAACACTCCTGGCCACCCAGACTCCGCCCCGGGGGCTGTGGCCCTCAGTGGCCATGTGCCGGCCTCCCAGATGACATCAACGGGCCCCACAGAGACCAGTCTCATCTCCGTCCTGGCTGATGCTACGGCCACATACTACAACAGCTACAGTGTGTCGTAGAGCTGGAGGTGCCACGTCCATCCAGCCCTCGTGCCCTCTCTTTCCTGTGCCCTGAGTGGTGCGGGAGCCGGGCAGCCACAGCAGCTTTTCTCCCACTGCTCAGGGCAGGGAGGTCTGAACTGCGGCCCCAGAGCCTTTAGCCTAAGCTGGACTCTCCTTATCCTTCTGTCCCCTTCATCACCTTCCCCACATCCCAGCCCCTGCAGCCCGTATTTTGAGTATACTGAGTATATTCCTTCAAGGGAGTTTTCCTCCAGCCCCTGAGAGTTGCTGCCTCCCGGTAGAATGTTCACGGACCTCTTTTTTTTTTTTTTTTTTTGTAACCTTCATCGAAACACGTGGTGGGACAGACTTGATAGCCAAGGCCCCTTCTGCTCCACGCTTTTCTGATTTAGGGTTCTCTCAAGGTTAATAAAGGAAGACGGGGAAATCTGACTCATTAGTGAGCTCACTAACTTAGGATCTGGTGATAATTTTGTGTGTACAGCCCGGGGACCACGAGGCTTTCTGCACTTCCTGTGCCCCCTTCCAAAATGACCACAGAATGCCAAAGGGACTCATCCATTTTGAGAAAAAAGAGTCAACCTGATTTGAGAAATTAACCGGTATGGCTAATTCTATCACAGAAAATGGAATTGACTTAAAACTTTTATTTTAAATATACATTTTAAAGCAGTTTATTATTATTATCATATACACTCTTCAAGAGAATATGTACAATCTAGGCTGGGCATGGTGGCTCGTGCCTGTAATCCTACAACTTTGGGAGGCCGAGGTGGGTGGATCACCTGAGGTCAGAAGTTCTAGACCAGCCTAGACAACATGGTGAAACCCTGTCTCTACTAAAAATACTGAATTAGCTGGGCGTAGTGGTACATGCCTGTAATCCCAGCTACTTGGGAGGCTGAGGCAGGAGAATCTCTTGAACCTGGGAGGCGGAGGTTGCAGCGAGCCACGATTGCACCATTGCACTCCAGCCCGGGCAACAAGAGTGAAACTCCAACTCAGAAATAAAAAAGAAAAGAAAAGAAAGAATATGCACAGTCGGAATATATACAATGAGTTTGAGAGACACAGGCCCACTTCATACAACCCTTAAACTCAAAGTCTAAATAAATCAGATGTTTTTATTAACAATGACAACTTCTTGCCAACTCCCTGTTCCTAATGACCCAAAGAGCCAGGGTACCTAGAAGGACTTTGCAACCAAGCAAAGTCACTGCCTTCAAATCTGGATACACACTTTCCCCTCTGTAGATTCAAGAGGTGCGTCCTTCCCGGCTGTCTCCAGCTTCCTTACTCTCTTTTCCGGGGTTTCTTTTTCTCTTCTTCCTGCTCTTCCTCCACTGCTGAACTTAGACCCTAACTCAAACAGCCCCTGACTTAAAAACCCAAGCATGCTTCCTCTAACTGCAATGAGAATTTGTGTTCCTCGCCGGTCAGGTCCTCAGCCAAAGTCCTCAGCCAGTGCTTTAGAGCAACTTCGCCCAAATCAGAAACTCACTGTGATTCCAAAAACGTTTCTGAGCCCTGGACCCCTGCCGCCAAAACATTTTCATGTTCCCCCAAACCCCCTTTGAAGGGGCATGCATAACAGTGTGCTGAAAGACAGTTGTTTGGTTTTTTATTTTAGCATATTATTTCTTGTATGAAATACGTTTTATATAATCTCCTATTATTTTTACCTTGTTTTCTATTGTTGATAAATCCTTTTTGTCCTTCCAAGACGTCCTATTGTGAAATCACTTATAAGATATGATTACTCTTTATGCTATTACTGTATATGCCATTTGGTAATAAATAGTACATTGTTGATGATATGATTGACTGGTGTGCAGTCCAGAGCGTGTGTTAATAGTCTCATAAAACAGTATCACAGACATTAAGCTAAACTGTTCCATTTTTTTGAAAAAATGACACATACTGTGGAACAGTTGTCAAATATTAATTTGTTGAAAATATTTAATTTAAATAAACGTTTTTGTACCATGCCTGTTCTATCCTTTGAAATATAGTTTTGCAAAAAGAAAAGGTTTCCAAGTGACACATGTTACGTTAAGTGCTACTTATGGTATAGATCAAAATGTTTTCTTTTCTTTTTTCTTTTTTTTTTTTTTTTTTTTTTGATGGAGTTTTGCTCTTGTTGCCCAGGCTGGAATGCAGTGTCTCAATCTCGGCTCATCACCGCCTCGCCTCCCGGGTTCAGGCTATTCTGCCTCAGCTTCCCAAGTAGCTGGGATTACAGGCATGCGTCATCACGCCCAGCTAATTTTGTATTGTTAGTAGAGATGGGTGTTTCTGCATGTTGATCAGGCTGGTCTCAGACTTCTGACCTCAGGTGACCTGCTTGTCTCTGCCTCCCAAAGTGCTGGGATTACAGGCGTGAGCCACCATGCCCAGCGATCAAAATGTTTTCTACACTGACTTTTTTATTTTAAAAAATTGTTATCTGGTAGGGATGGTTTCTTTTATGAGTTATGCTAAAGAGATAAATCTAAATTGTACACATTGGAACGTGTTGCTTTTATTGACAATGAAAGAAAATATCAACTCATGACCTACATGTAGAATAACCTTCTCCTTGTGATGACATTACACTTATAAAGTGGAATGAGGTGACTATTGGGCTGTCTGAAGAATAAAAGTAAGTTTATTTGCTTGCTTACTTAATACTGACACAGCTAATTTTTTTTTTTTTTTCTTTTCAGTAGAGACAGAGATTTGCCATGTTGGTCAGCCTGGTCTCGAACTCCTGACCTCAGGTGATCCACCCGCCTCGGTCTCCCAAAGTGCTGGGATTATGGGCATGAGTATGGTGGCGGGTGTCTGTAATCCCAGCTACTTAGGAGGCTGAGGCAGGAGAATTGTTTAAACCCAGAAGGTGGAGGTTGCAGCGAGCCGAGATCGCGCCACTGGACTCCAGCCTGGGCAACAAAGCGAGACTCTGTCAAAAAAAAAAAAAAAAAAAAAAAAAAATCACAATTTTTTCTTCTTTTTGAAATAATCTGGAAACACACCAGTGTTTATGGATGTGGAAATAGATCACAGGCTCTCAGAACTCACTGGGAGATAGCGGAGAAGGCAGGAGGGCACACAGACTCATGATGAGAGGATGCAACATCCAGTGAGGGGTAGGAGGAACATCCCGGCCAAAAAGCATCTGCAAGAAACTGAGGATGACTCAGTCCCTGTGCAGGTCACCTCCGTCTGGCTTCTGTCCACAGGGAAGCAGTTGTAACTTGCTCAAGTCAAGGGCAGCTGTGTGTTTTCCCAGGCCCTCTGGGCCAAGGAGTGGGTCTTAGGAGAGCCCAGATGGGCATGTGTGTTTCCTTCAGTTTTGATCCTAATCTATAGTCATTACTTTAATAGCACTTTATAGGTGTGCAGAGTTTTATGGAAAGTTTTATGGGCTGTTTCTCATCCACAGCCCCAGGTGGGGCCTGTCATCCACCCACCGCACTGTGTGGCAGGGGACACAGAGGCCCAGGGTGGGCGGTGGCGAAGGGTGGCTGGCTCGTGTGGTGACGCTTCCTGCGTTTCAGCATCGTCAGATGCCTGTTGGCAGCATTAGTTGATCTCACTGTTGAAGTTGGTGCCGCCTGATTTTTCCTACTTTACCGTGGCATGGAGTCATTTGCAGTCCAGTTCATACCCATCACGGCCCGGGGAAAGAAAGAGCGAGCAAAGGAAATCATAGGCCAGAGTTAGGTGATGCTGAAAGACCTTGCTATCCAGATTGGTCACTGTGGCCACGACTCGTGGCAGTCTGCAGTATCACCAGTTGCCCAGAGCTCCTGTCTAGCAGTACCTGCCTAGCACATCACCCTGTCACTGCCTCATGGGCATGTTTCATTCCAGGACTCGCTGTGGGGGATGGTTCCTGTTTCTGGGAGGGCAGGAAGCCGGGTGACAACCGGGCCACTCTTCCACTGTGCTCAGCTGCTGGTGAGACAGTCGTGCCCAGGAGCCAGAGGCATCTTTGAGTTTTAGTTGCCCATTCTGGGCACATCGCTGCGTCTGGTGCAAAGAACATGTCTCGCTTTGGCCAATGGGACTGGATGGCAACGCAGTTAGAAGTTCCTTTTCTGAATCCTATATGCCACTGTTCCACCCTTTTCCCTGAGGTCCCTGAGCACTCCCTCATCACCCAGGACATACAGGTAGCACCAGGGTGGAGTCACTATGGCTCCCGCTCTGGACCCCTCGCTGCCCAGGGTCCTGGGAGGGGCCTGGTCATGTGTTCACATGGCCACTGGTTTGTAAAAACTTTGCAAAAAGGAACATGCTTTTGTATTCTTTAAAAGGTCCCCACCCCCTGCTCCAATTGTGCAAGCTGTGAGCCTCAGGACACTGGGCTCAGCCCCCGTGTGAGCACCCCTTGGTTGACCCTGTTCTTTCCAGAAGCCTCTCCCGCGGCCCTCATCTGCTGCAGTATACCCTACCACGGGGCAGCCTGTGGGCCCAGGAGATTCTCACCTTCTCTCTGTTCCTGTGTTTTCGCCAATGCTAATCCTTGATTCCCTGACCTGGGCGACCGTCACTTCCGTCACCGTTTGGTGACATCACACTCACTGTCCTAGTCCAGCTCTGATGTGCCCAGCGTTGCTCAGCAGAGGGGCCAGTCACTCTCTCCTCCCCGGGCGTCCCCAGGACTCGGGCGGACCTTGGTTACCACGCTCACTGCCAGCACTGGAACCATCTTCCCTGTGCACCCTCTCCCACAGGTGACCCACAGAGGCTGCTCGACAAATAAATGAATGAACATTTAAAAAAATCACCTGGGATGCCCTATAGCTGTGCTGGTTAATCTTGGTGGCAAAGACCTGAATGAACCCTTCTATGTCCCTCATTTTACCTCCCATTTCCCTGGAAACCAAGACGTAGGGGCCTTTGTGTGCGTCCTCCTTGGGGCTCTGAGGCTCAGTCTGATGTGGCCGTGACTATTCTCCTGCACCTGCTGGAGTGTAGCCTGGCAGACTCAGGGCAGGAGATGGGCATGGGGAGAGCACTCCTCTCCCGCCCTGATGCGGAGCAGAAGAAGAGGGCTGAAGGCAGAAGATTGCTGTCAGAGCTCTCGCCTGCCTTTCCTTTTGAGGAGGCTGTGCTCCTGGTTTCATCCCAGTGAAAGGAATTTGGAAGAGGGGGATGGAGGGAGGAAGAAGGAAGGAAGGAAGGAAAAGAAGAGAGAGACATGTATAGAAATCTACTTAGCTGTCTGTCTGTGTATCTATCATCTGTCCACCTATTCATTCACTCCATCTCTCTCCTTAATCCTTCCATCCGCTCCTTAATCCACACACACACGCTTCCAGCCAGCCATTCATTCTACCTTTTCTTTCTCTTTATTTCTTCCTTTTTTCTTTTTCTCCTTCCTTCCTTCCCTCCCTTCCTTCCTTCTTCTCTATTCATCCATCCACCTACCCACTCATATTCTGTACATCAATCCATCCAGCCATACGTCCTCCTACCCACCCACACCTCCATTCTTCCACCCCATACCTTACCCACCTTCTCACCCACCCGTTATCCATCCATCCATCCATCCATCCACTTCCTATCTATCCATCTATCCATCTATTGTGACCGATATTTCAGTTCTCAAAAGGTACATATAGTGTTTGTCAGAAATATAGAAAAAATAATATCATAAAGAAAAAAATAAGTCATCTATTGTCCACAACTTAGAGACATTAATGGTAATTTTTTGGTATATATCTATCTAGAGTTTTTTCTTTTTTTGGTATAGATATAATGCATATATACATGTCCTTTATAACAGACATTTTATTCATTAGTATTAAATCAGCGTTTTCCTATGCCATTAAACTTCATTTTTCTGCAAAAGGTGTTTTCTTCCTGGTTGAAAGTTTAATATACAAAGTTGGCAGGGGAAAGGAACACCACTTGCTCCATGGCCTTTTCTCAACGTATCATGTTGGTACACTGAATTCCTAGTCCCACATCCGTGCACATGTGCTCGTGTGTACTGTGAACATCGTGTAGCTGTGCATGCCATTGCATTTGGCTTTCTCCGATCAGCGTCCTGTTGTAAAAGTTTCACCACATTCATATCCATCTTCATAGTTATCATTTTTGATGACTGCAGAATACTTCAGTGACTACATGGAGCTTATTTTACTCGACCACCCCTTTGCTATCAGATTATTAAATTGTTCCTTTTTGCGGTTCTAAACAGCACTGCAGTGAACATCTATTGGCTTGCATCCACAGCTGGATTCCCAGCAGAGGGTCACTGGGTCTAAGCACGTGAGCGTATTTGCAGCTTTTGCTTCAAATGGTTCGCTGGTTTCCCAGAGTCTCAATTGATCATCCAAGGGAAAATGACTCCATTCCATTCCCAGAATGAACTTACTTTGTCTTAACGGGAATAAGTAAAGCCACTGAAGACTATTGATAAAGACTGCCTTAAATCTGTTGGGGCTCGATTGCGTCACTTGTCCCGGCACCTCTGTCTGCCTTCTCCCGTGCTTCCTGACGGCTTCCACTAGCAAATTGGGAGCGTCCCTTTTCCCCAGACTCCACCCAGAATGACACACCCTTCCTTGGCTTCTGACCCATTTCGACTGCTCTCAGCCCAAGACATGTGAAAGTGGTTTTTATCCTGAGTTTAAGCATCAACCTCTCATAGGGGGCAAGGGATTGCTCTGAGTTACCAAGGCAACCGGATTAGTCCTCCCAGTGTCCCCGGTGCTCGAGACCATGATGCTGGCTGCATCTGCAGGTTGCTCAGAGCTGCTGATACGGGGGAGGATGCCCCAAGAGAGCTGGGACCTGGGGACACGGTCTAGCCTGACCCATCGCTGGATTTTAATTGGGAATAGGGTAAATCCCTGGACCTGTCGTGTCGTCTAAGCGGGTAGCGAGTGAATTCGAATGCATTTTAGAAAGGGCAGAGCTTTATGGGGATGCACAGGAGGGCTATTGCCTATTTTGTATTTCTTGAGACCATTTAGATGCTTTTAGGCCTGGA